ATCGGTGCAACGAATTCCACCGATTGGATGCACGGGGGCTCCTCTTAAATCGTTCGCGGTAAACGATGCTTTTTACGCCGAGGAAGTGAATCGATTTTACCGAGCAGGCGAGATCCGAAACCGCGAGAGCCCAGGAACTTCCGTGTCTGGTTGTTGTTCGAGGAAACTGCGATCGGAGCGCGGTGGGTATTCGTTAGAAACGTTAAGCCCTGTTTTGAATAGACTACTAGCCGCACGATGAAATAAGGTCAGCATAACGACGCGCAATTCGTCGAAAGCGGTAAAAGGTTTACAAGTCAGCGCTTCCCAAACTCTGTTCCGTGCATTTGAACAAGTATTACGCGATAACACACTGGCGATCAAACCGGCTAAAATCACTGCATTTTGCATATCTCTAACCTACGCGCCTTTCGCGCCATTTGTCGCTATTTAGTTTTCAATTATAAAACAGTAATTATTACGTCGAAACGTTTATCAGAAGGTATCGTACGATTGTTCTTAAGCGTTCCATGAATATATTACGAGAAGAAAGCGTTCGATGATTTAGAAAGATTGAGAAATTCCAGGTCGTGGCATCGCTGCGAAAATTTATTCCCTGCCGTTGCCACCGATTTTCATCGAGACCGATCTCTATAACCGTGGAAACGCAACAACTCGAAAAATTTATACTCTGCGTTTCGCAATTTATTGCCACGCGTGTCTCCTATTATAGTTCTCGCTACGCGACGGTCCCTCTATAAATATCGGTCTTCGTACACGCGGTCCGCGTTCCCCTCGAAAGAAAATCCAATTTTCCTACGCGGTGGATCAAAATAAATTTCACGCAAAACCATGATCTATAGGGTAATTGCGCAAGAAGGTAACGTATACCCTGATCTACGAGTGACTTCACGCTTGCGAACGTAGCATCGATCTAGCTTCTGCCCGAATTGTCCCCAACAATCAGTATGGAATAAACTTTCTTTGCCCCTTCACGAAATTTTTAAGATAATCGTGCAGTCGACTAATTACGAATCCCCAAATGTTATTTCATTTTATCGAAAATGTGTTCGACTGAAATTTCCGCCCTTCCTTCGTGAAATGTCCGACGATTGCAACCAATACGCCGATAAAGTGCATTAGAAAACGTTGGCAGAGTCTCGAGCAACGAAACGCTTCTCGAATCCGTCCCAGACTCTCGAGAAGTTCCGTCGATCCGCGAGCCAAGTTATAAATACGTATTCATTCACGACGCGTTTGGTTAGTTGACTTAAAGGATTCATAGATTCTTTATTCATGTATGCTAATTGCGCCACGCGGATTACGCCGGTTAGTCACGAGATTCATCGCCGTGGAAGGGTTAACGCATCGTTTACATTCGCTGGATACCATTGCTTTCTCCAGGTTTTTCCGCAATTTCCGTGCCCCTCCGACATTTTTACGGGCCCGTGGGGCCTGAAACAGGCGATCAACGCGAGGCAAAACGTTTCGTCATGCGCGAGCGTCGACAGTGTCGTCTTCCGCGATTAGTCACGTTTCGATTTCGTAAGACGATCGATCCAGCACGGAAGATACGCCCTCTTTGTTTCCCCCTCGTTCACACACGACAGTTATCGTCCGAACATGCAACGCTGAAGTTTTTACGATCGAGACGATAGTTGCTCAACCCCACTCCCGGAGGGAACAGTTAACTCAAACCTCGAGAAATATTCATACATTAACGCCGAATCCCGCCGATCGGTTAAGAAAATATTCCGTTTAAATCCATTTCTGAATAAATAGTCTTTTGTGATTTTGTAATTTACGCAGGATGAATTAAAATATTTGTAAATCAATGGGTTCTAGGTCCAGTTAGCTGAAGTCTTTTGATAAAAAAATATTCACACATTAAGGCTAAATTCCACTGATGGGCTAAGAAATTCCGTTGGAAACGATTTAATCGTTCCTTTTAAAATCTATTTCTGAATAAATAGTTTTTTGTAATTTTGTAATTTACGAAGGATGAACTAAAATATTTGTAAATCAAAGGGTTCTGGGTCCAGTTAGCTGAAGTCTTTTGATCAAGAAATATTATTTTGAAAAGTACCAAAATATCTCAGTGGAATCGAACTCCTGGAATTCACTCGTTATCGTCGATCGAATTGAGGAAAAAGGTTCAGAATATTTTAATCTGAAAAATAAGTAAAATTGAAAAGTCGTGTAATCTTATAATATAACTTCCAAAATCAATAGAATCTACAAATAAATTAATCATAAGAGTGTTGCAGCTAATACTAAAAATATACAAAACGGTATTTTGATATCAAAAATAATTGAGACACCCTTGTTTCACCCCTAACGTCGTAGACACTTCGTTTTTATAAAAATGTCTGTTCTTACAACCCAACGTAAATATTCCTAGATACAAAAAAAAATATTCTTCGTTTCCTTTTGTTTCGTAGATTGTTTACAACGGTTGTTCGTATATCTGGTGGCACGTGAACGAACAGAACGGACAAGGATCCGCGTGAACGTCACGCTCGGAGGGCCGTGAATCGTCGAAACGAAATGCGGAAATAAAGCATCGCCGCTGCGTGAAAATCCAATCGCGGAGCCCAGCCGCTGGGATAACTGTTTCTCGAATGTTATCGATCTATTTGTCATCGATGTAAGCTGCAACGGAGTCGAGATTACGGCGCAGACCCCGCAATTTCGTTGGAAAACCAGAACGCGAGCGTGGCCGAACGAGAGACTATCGTTGTACGTGCTTCCGTTGCGTTATCGCTTGACCGATCCCCCACTTCTCCACCCCCCTCCTCCCCTCCATAACACACGGTTACCTATCACCGATAAAGGTACGTATGTATGTACATTCGATATTCGATTCTTCGGAACAATCTCGTTGCACGATGTATTTCGTTTCGTCGAAAACACTTCTGAAATATTAGCGTATTTTCAGCTAAATTTTGGAAAACAAAACGCGAATTGTTATGACCAATTTAACGTGAAAATAAAATGCAATATGGTTCGATCAAATCTATACTTCTACGACCCCGGATAGACTATGATGGATGCATTGGGCCTGTGAGACCCAAACTCGCATTTAAATGCAAAGATTTTTCGCGCCCTTTCTTCTTCGAATTTTATTACACGATTGTCGAGGATAATTTGAAAAATTGGGGAAAGGAAAATACATGTATATACTATTATAAACATAGATTATTAATACGTTTTCCGTGTTTAGGAATATCCTTGATTTTTTAAAATTCTCGTGTGAAATATAAAAATATCCCACGGTCGAATATGATACCATTGAAGAAGAAACATTACGAGCTTGAAACGTTTGTTGTCAGTGACCAATCATAGCAGCCAACGCGATAAATTATATTTAGGTATTCGTAACGATACACTCATTGAAAGTAAAATGGGAATGCTGCTCTTCAAACTATAATCTTCTCATAATTATCATAATGTTGACAACATATCTGTCTTTAAAAAATTTAAGACATTAGTGAAGGAAGTCTTCTATTTCTGCTTTCATCAATTTGTGTCGATCGAGCGTTTTCTTAGCAATCTCTATATCAGTAAACCTGTTGTCCATTGTTATGGTTTCACCAGTTCTGTGTAGCGGCGCAGAATTTGTTGAATAATATTTGATATGGACCCTCTGGTTGCGAACCCGCATAAATTTCCATATTCACCGTATAGCAGGTTCTAGCGTCAACCAATGAAAACATTTATAAACCATATTTAGCAGATTTTTTTTTAGCAAATATGCACTCGACGAGAAAAACGTGAATATTTGTTTCAATTTTTCCACGATCTTGGGTACTCGCAATTTACTACTTTCAGACTGCTTGTCTCCTCACCATCTAAACTTAAAATTACACAAAATTGTAACAAGAGTAATATAAACTAAAGAAAATAAATTAATAACAACAAAACAAAAATTGCAAATATTAAGTGTTCAGACTTTCAACCGTCCATATACGTATTCGGAAGGCCGCTGTCATAATTTTTCACGTGCCTCGAGGATCGGTTTCAAAAGGAAATCTGTCGTTACCGAACACCTTCATCGAAAGAAGCATTTTTCTCGCAACGGTCTGTTATAACAGCGCGTGTTCGACAAACCGACAGCGTGTATTTCGTAAAGGTGACAAAAGGCGCGTTGCAAAGGAACGAAATTTCACGGCAAATCATCGGATTAGAGTTTCTACGCCAATGTGCGGTTGCATTCACGGAGGCGACGCTATTAGAACGCGTTCCGCGTTCCCGCGGACGCACACACTCGGAATGATAGATCATCGGCGGTCGCGTCCTATCGGACGGTTCTTTAGGCGACTCTGAAGTCATCGAATGAAACGGTCGAAAAGACCTCTGCCAACTGCGAAGTCGGTAAGCGCGTCTCGGCGTCCTCCTCTCCAGGCGCACTAGACGCCGAGAAGTGCTCTCGGAACACGCGAAAGAGCGCGCATCTTGTTCCTCGCTCGCCGTCGATTTAGGTCGTTAACGGTAAAACGGCGGCGTTCGCGCTCGCGAAACCAAAGAAGACCCGTTACGACGGCTCTCGATTTTGCTGACGTGCCCGAGCGCGATCGCCGCCGCGTAATTGCACCTGCACGAAAATTGCGTCACCGATGTTCTTAAGCGTTAACACGGTTTCGACGATAACCGACCCGAGAAGACCCACGTATTCCTCCCCGGCCGTTCGCGCGGACGAGCTGGCGAGAGAATGCCCTCTGATGCGAACGCGGACGAAATTAACAAATGACCGACATAAACACCGTCCGTCCGTAACAAAAGGTTAGTCACCTTTCGTTTGTTGCACGAAATCGTAACCGTTTGGTCAAGATTGTGCAGTAAGAATAAATAGCACTGCCAACGGTGAAAATACATCGAGAGCGGTCGAACGTTTCGGGGCTCGATCGACGAGACAATGGAGAGCTCGAAACGGATTAGGTGGACAGGTATTCGGACCGAAAGACACGATGTTTACCGTTAGTCAGAAATTTGTGGTAAATGCAGTTATCGTTGGGACTTACCTAACGAATTCACTCCTTGCTCGTCGAGCTGCACCTAACTTATCTTGCACTTTTTCTTCTTTTTAGATCGTACGTGGAATAGATAAACACAATACCGGTGGTCGCATCGAAACGAACACCCAGCGACTGTGTACCTCGATCGGCGTCTCGCCTATCGATTTACGATCTATCGCGATTTCTTTATCCACCGAAGCACAACCGTGTCACAACCTCGAATCCCCAAGGATCCGATATATATATTTTTTTTCTGTTTTCGCACTTACGGAGGGAGGGGGTGGGGGGGCCGGATTGGAGGCAAAACTATCGCGGAACTGTTTCACTTGCGGAATAATTAGACCGGGCGGTTCGAAGCGCGGCTTTTTCAAGCCCCCGGATGCATACACGCCGTGGCTTCTTACCTAACGTATCGAAATGCTTCGCTCTCGCGTGTCACGTCGCGCCTAACGAGCTTGGCTGCACACCTCCGATTCGACGAAATATCATTCCGCGTCTGTCTCCCAGGCACGAAGCGAGAGACCTTCGACGAGACCTTCGGGCCGCACTTTGTGAGAGGGACGCGCAGGTATAACACGACGTTGGCGATCGGGCCTCGAAGACACGACGAGATTCTTCGCTGGTTCAAGCCCCGGCACGACACGTCGCGGCGGCGTCCCGAGGAACCGAGAAGCCGTAACGACGATCACACAAAGGACAATCGATGCTCTCCTCCCGTATTTCTCCACTCCGATGTCGTCGCACTGTTTTCACACCGCTAACGGAATCACGGTTTCCGTAACACCCGTGGCTTACGACCGGCGTTTTCGCGCTTCCGGCTAGCGGCACGATCGTGTCTCGCGTACGTGCGTGCGTATACGCGTTCGCGTTACGTTTCTCTCTATTTTTTCACGTTGTCCGCCCAAACGAGAACCGTGATCGCGTCTATCCACGTCCGTACGTCGCGGGCGCCGATGGCGGTATGAACCGGTGGCGCCGCGAGCGCCGACACAGGCGCCCTCGTGAACTAACCCGCCTCTCCGCCGACGCGCGCGCGAATCTTACCAACACGATGGGAACCCCGCTCCCTCGTCGATGCCAGAAATACGCCGCACGAATACACGGGAAATGAGTAGGATCGTACGACAGCTACACTCCGCCGAATCTATAATGGATATTCGCACCGACGGACCACCTGGCCCGCCTCCCCTTACTACACCGTCTAACGGGTGTCCCTCGATTTACACAACGACACTCACAATGCTGGACGCGTCGCTCGCTGCACCCTGCATTCTACCAGGACACGATGTACAACTTACGACCGCGAGGGGTAGGTTTCGATGATCGCACGCCGGACGCTTTCGGGTCTCCTACTTCTTCTTCATATTATTTGTTTCCGAACACTTCGACTCTACAAACATCCTTTATTTATTCATCTCTCTACACCCAACGGTGCACGTAAACTTTTACATAGGGTTATCCAAATTGAGTGTTACATCTTTAAATTGAAACACAAACTATTTGAAATATTTCAGGTTTCTTTATTTTAATATAAAGTCCACTTCATGACGTTACTCTTGGAACAAAATGTCATTACAATTTTATAATTGGGGTTCTATTTCATTAATGGCGGCTATAATATTGGTTCTTAGCTCGTCAATCGTTTATGATTTATTGACATAAACTTCACTTTTTAAAAATCCCCATAGGAAGGAGTCTAACCGGGTTAGATCGCCTTCAGAAATCAGGCGTTGAAAATCAAGCTCGAACAGAACATGAATATTTATAATATTTTTTAACAATTTTTACACGTTGCTGCACAATGTAGAGTTGCATGACGATTTGTTTATGTTTAGTGATGACGTGTGTGAAATATAATAAAGAACAATCAAATCATTTAGCAGTCCCATCTGTTGAAAGATGTGACACTCAATTTGGATAACCCTATATATGTTTGTACAATAACTACAGTTCTATAAATTAATTTCATTTTTCGTAGCTTCATAAATCCCCTTTCCAAACAATTTTTTATTTTCTCTGCGACGAACCAACTGACATTCTAAGTGATTCTTGCTACTTAACTTTTGTTACGTTATAAGATCCTTGTCAAAGTTTATTAATTCCTGTCTTGTCTTCGTCAACCGAAAGTAATATTTGTAATATCTAAATTTCCAGTGACTCAGTAATGTTTTGGGTAGTGAATCGAATTCAGAAGTTGCTCTCCTAAATAGTTTTAAGTCACCAGCAAATAATAGACACGTGCTATCTTTGAACACTGTGACAGTGTCATTAATAAATATAGAATCAGGGGACTCCAAGGAGGGCAAGATGGAGTACAGACAAGGGTTTGCGATTTTTATTATTTCCAATAACAGCACACGGTCTAAGGATGCGAAAGATGATCATTGCATTCTATGTTTGTAATTGGATCAAGTTCGAGCAACTTGTACGCTTTTATCCAATCGATCAGTAATACTATAGGTACCGTAGCACCATTTTGAGACAAAGTTTCCGTAATGTGTTACGATGTCGCTTTCTACGCCGTGCAGAAGGAAAAGCGAATTATCTTCGAAATCTGCATTTCTCGAGAGTCGGCGTCGAGCATATATTAAAAGTTACGTTACTGCCGATTTCGCTTTCGCTTACGATGCTCTTGTACGCGAACGCCGGAAGGGGAATCCTAGGTTTCTAATGGGTGTCTTCGTACTTCGTTTTCGATTTTAGCGTATGAACGAACCAACTGCGAGAACCTGTTCTCGGTTCTTTCCTCTTCGAGTTGTTTCCTCGAGGAGTCCGTCTTGCCAGCGCAATTAATTTGCACCATTAAGACGGGAAGTAACTTTGATATTTAATATTTACATCTTTCTTCTGTTATATGACATCGTGAAAAGAACTGTAATTCTATTATAAACGACATTATTGCATTTTACTTGATTCCCTACGCCTACTTGGTCCGGAAGTATTACTCGATCCATAAGATTTCGAACACACATCTAACATATACTTAGAATTATTAGGTCTCAAAAGTACAAGACTACAGTTTTCCATAAAATTCAATAGCACGTTTGAAATATTGCTTTAAATTCAGGCACGAAGTTACGAAATTACCCAATATATTGCACGCTGGTGGAACGTTCGTGTAGAGGAGCATAGAGCATTCGGATAACAGTATCACCGAAACTGTATCGATCCCGTTTCTGCTTTTAGAATGCAACAGAAAAGAATCTGTCGCGTTAAAATGTAATTAAAATCGGCTTTCGTTTATGCGATGTCATAGTTGAACCGTAACGACGTAAATAGCATCGAGAACGCTAAGCCGAGGCCCACCATTGGTGGGATTTTTCAGGACGTTCTTCGATCCACGCAGTAGTCGACACGACGCAGTCGAATTCTCGCCAAATAGAATGCTGCATCCGGATCGTTGAATAATCTTGCAATAGCTGCTATCGGATGATCAATTTATATTCTACCGAATCACTGACATTCCGAGACTCTTCCTGTATCTCATACTATCGTACGTGGTGCTGCATAACGTGTGATAGACGCCTCAGTGATGGAGGAATAAAATTAATACGTGCTCTATTTGACCTATCAAGCTTTTCCAGCCACCAAATATGACTGTAACCAACGTTTGCGTGAATTTTGTCCGTTTCTATATACCCTGTCCACCGCTGAAGCGTGTATCACGTATTATGAAACATCCTGTACATTTCTACGCCTGGTATCACAACGCGTAATTAGCTTCGTTGCGTCACAATTTCCTTATTTACATCTCGCGACGGATGCAAAGCATGAAACGTACAAAAACCAACGCGTGCAACGAATTCATCCGTGTCTTTCGATGTAATCATGGAAATAGAAGGACTTCATGGAAACTCATTACAACTGCTCGCACTTTGTCGTCGTCGTTCGTGATGCGCCGACTCGGTGCCATCGGCGGACGCTCGTTTCTTATGCGAAGAAAGAGAAGCCCCGTTCCTTTCGGGTCGCTCCGCGTTGCCAATATCCGTTAAAACGCGACTTTCCAATGCTCGGCGTCGATGGAAACGCCGTGGCACGGCGTAATTCTAAGCAGACACCGGAGGAACTTGTTCGCGACGATAATAAACGGCGTAAATCTCAACGAACCACCGATCGAATTACATTAATTATTTCCCGACCGACAGCACACGCGTAAACCATATTGCAACGGACATTAGATTTACGTTAATTAGCAATTACCTACTTACGAATTCTCTGTTACCGTCGCCTCGCGTGCAACAAATTGTCGACCGCGTGCTTAATTAATTATTGATATTCGTTACGTTGTTAATATGCGACTCGTGGCGGCAGAAAATGAAAATCTTCCGAACGCCTCCAAGAATAACATGAATCAGTGTTTTTCAACCTCTTTATAAATTGCTCGAAAGAATTTAACCAATAATTAGTCGTTTGAATCCTCTTTAGGGAAACATGGCGGAGTACAAATATCAATCTAGTAATATTTACTGAAATGGACTCTACGTTTTTTACCGGATTATAGTAACAGTTCTAAAGGATACCGAAATCGCATTAGTAGATTTCGAGCTGAAGAAGCAATTATACCAGGATCTGATAACGCCAAGTACCTTGCTTTAAACATCGATTGAAGTTTAACGTGGAAACATCAGCTTCGTCGAAAGAGACATCAGATGGAAATAAAGTCCAGAAAAATGTACTGGCTACCGGATCGCCGATCGGAACTTTCAATTAGAAACAAATTGCTCCTGTATTAGCTCATTATAAAACCGGTCTGAACTCGCGGAATACCACTCGGAGGATGCGCTAACATTAATGTCGCATTTCATTCGAGCGGTCTTGTAACATTGGACAATAACCGTGAAATCAATTACCTAACCTCTCCAACATTCTATCGCGTTTTCATATAATTCTTGATAATAATATCTTCATCCGATCAGTACACACTCTTCGAAAACGTATTTTGTCAAATGAGTTACAATAATGTAAAAAGCTACGTATGTACAGTGAAGAATAAAAAACATAAGAGAAATCTTTTATATTTTGCGATTATTCTGGATCATTTTGACCCGTTTCGTAACAATATTTTCTGCCCAGAGGCGTACACGACAGCGGAATATCGC